AGATCAGCCAATATCATAATGCCCCTATATAAATCAATGGTGCGACCTCATTTGGAATATTGTGTGCAGTTCTGGTCACCACACCTTAAAAAGTCTATTATAGCTTTGGAAAAAGTGCAGAAAAGGGCAACTCGAATGATAAAAGGGTTGGAACACTTTCCCTATGAGGAAAGGTTAAAGCACTTAGGGCTCTTTAGCTTGGAGAAACGACGACTGAGGGGTGACATGATTGAGGTTTATAAGATTATGCATGGGATGGAGCAGGTAGAGAAAGAGGTACTTTTCTCCCTTTCTCACAATACAAGAACTCGTGGGCACTCCATGAAATTGCTGAGTGGTCGGGTTAGAACGGATAAAAGGAAGTAGTTCTTCACCCAAAGAGTGATTAACACATGGAATTCACTGCCACAGGAAGTGGTGACGGCTACAAGCATGAACGGCTTCAAAAGGGAATTAGATAAGCATATGGAGCAGAGGTCCATCAGTGGATATTAGCCACAAGGTATAGATAGGGGCTCTGGGGCAAGTGATTCTCTGTCTTCTTGGTGCTGGGGGGGGTCAACAGTGGGAGGGCTTCTAATGTCCTGGCCCCACTGGTGGACCTCCTGATGGCACCTGGTATTTCTGGCCACTGTGTGATACAGAGTGTTGGACTGGATGGGCCTTTGGCCTGATCCAACATTGGCGTCTCTTATGTTCTTATGTTCTTATTTTTACACTGACTAAAAATGTCAAAATGATAGCCCAAAATAGCAGATACTTGGCACTGACTGAATAAGGAATAAGGAAGATTACGAATAGAGAAGAAGTGTTATCAAGAGACTCTGAGGTGGAAGGACAAGGGATTAGCTTCTAACAGAGGTCAGTGTGAGTTGGAATGATGGTCTGCAGGAGTTCCATCCCTTCTTCAGATCAAACTGCGACAAGAACACAAATCACTGCTTGTGGAATGTATAAATATGTAAAAGAAAAGGTCACCATTGACTTTGTAATAGACCTCACCTGGTGCAGCTTTCTCATCTTCTACACTTGCTTTAGTCTTGAAAGCAGGGAAGAGGCTGGCCACAAGATCCCTTGTCAAAGAAAGGGGCTGCAAACTGCATTCTGTACTGTGTCTGGCATTGCCTTTCCTCCATGCCTCAGGTTCTCTTCCATCCTCTGCAATTTCTGAGGGATGGAAGGTAGACTTCCTAAGAGGAGAGTGAGTCTTTCTGCCTTTCAAGCTGCCAATTCCAGTGCTAGACTCACCGCTGCTGCTCGTGATGACAGAGGCTTCCTGTTGACCTGCTAGTTCCTGAACAACAAACTTCTTGGCAAGGTATTTTCCATCTTCAGGTCCACTGGGCGCATCAGTAGCATAATCACCATCAGAAAGATCCAAATTTTGATCTGTGTTAGTTGCTCTGTGGGTGCTGGGCCTTACAGGGTACTGACAGCGATGAAACTTGGGTTCATCACTATCAGTAGATGTGAAGTCTGAATTGCTAGAAGGGGGACTTCTACTCCAGCTGCCAGCAGCACCTGCACTGTGGTGTTGCTTTCTACGGGAATTAGCTGTTGTGGCTGCCTGCTTTCTACTTGGCTTAGATGAGACTTTTACTATGTGGTCATTGACCTTCTTAAACCCAGGGCCACTTTCCACTTTGATCTCCAAACTTCTGTCATCCACAGCTAGAGCAACTTGGAGCCTGGAGTTCTGATTTACTAGATCAGTTTGGTTTTCTTCCAGGTTCTGAACCTCAGAGGTATTCAGTGAAGCTTCTGTGGGCCATCCTGTTACTTGTGATCCACTGTCCTCCAAATTCTCCTTATGCCACACTGTAACTTTAGTGTCTACAGATCTACTGCTATCCCCATCTAAATGGTCTTGGGAACCAGGACATGACATATCAGTTTTATCATTCTCTTTTGCCTTGATTTCACTTATTTGTTCATGATATTCCTGGGGACATTCAGTGCAGTTAATCTGAGATTGTACATCAGGCTCTTTTTTGTTTACCGTTTCTTCACCTTCATGACCACCAATGTTACTGCTTCCCTCTCTTCCTTCTGGTCTTTGTTCCAGACTATTAAATTGACATTTTATATCCTTGGAAGTGATACAATTTGCATTTTTGTCATTCCTGACTAGCACTGTAGGACTACTGACTTGCCTTTTTAGTTGTGGGTGTTTTCCCAATAATTGTTCAGTGTCACTGTGGGCAGGCCATGCAAAGTGATTCTGACAATCAAAGCTGACTCTTCTGAGAAGGTTGGTTTGCTGTTTGCCAACGTTCTCCTTATTTTTGCTGTTTGCCAACGTTCTCCTTATTTTTCCCAAGCCTCCCTTATGTTTCAGGAATAAGTTCTGAGCAGCCACTTTAGTCTCACAGGAGTTCTAAAAGTAATTAAATGATACATAAGCAAGGTGTGAATTCCAGAACTTTCTAAAGAGAAATTCTGACTCCAAACTTCCTTTGACTTTAACTTGCATTTTCCCCTAAACCATTTAAGTATCACTTCTACATTCAAATTATAATCTAAAACCTGATGTGCCAAGTGGCTTGCCATTCTTTTTGATAAAGGAAGATATCTCACATGTACATAGGAATTTCTCATTGCAGACATCAAGCATTTCTTCTCTAATAAAAGAAGGGACACCTGTACACATTTTGGATCAGACACCATGTGTTTCTCATTTGAGTGCAAGTCATGGATTGTAAAGTAGGGTTGCCAACTCTGGGCTGGGGCCTAGGAAGGGTGGGGTTTGGGGATGGGAGGGACCTCAGAGGCATATAATGCTATAGATTCCATCCTTTAAACCAACCATTTTCTCTAGGGGATGTGATCTCTATCATCTAGGTATCAGTTGTAATTCTGGAAGGTCTCTAGCTCCCACTTAGAGAATGGCAACCCTATCAACCCGCCAGGCCTTTAAGTAGGAGCCGCCGCCACCACTATTCCACCTCCGCCTCCTGTGCACTGTCGTATTACCATCATGATTGTTTGGTCCCTACGGGGGGAGCGAGGTGCCTGGGCACGGATTGGATGATAAGATCTCAGGGAGCTGCTATGGAGGTTAAGATCTACCCATCTTGGTTAAATCTGTATTGCAAATTTGTTACTGTATTTTATTGCAATTTATTGTTTTTAAATTATGTGTTTATTGTTGTAACCTTAGCACAGGGTGCCCTTGTCAGCCGCCCTGAGCCTTCGGGGTAGGGTGGGATATAAATCCAAATATAAATTAAATAAATAAATAAATAAAATAAATCAAAATCACAACAAGTTTGTATTATTCACAAACTATTAAAGTCAGAGACAAAACCAATTTTAGGTGGGGAGCATAGGACTGTCTCAAACAAAAATATCTACAGGCTATTCATTTCCCCCCCCCTTTTATTTGCTGATTGTAAAAAGAAAGTGATAAGAGAATGTCATTTGGAGGGAGTGACTATGCTGTAACTTTCACACATATATACAGTGCAGTTACCACTGGAACTTCTGCCATCAATTTAGTATCTTTTTCCCAGTGATAATTCTCTAGAAAGGTTAGTTAATGTTGGGCGATCAAGCATTAATTTACTTTAACTCCTAACTCACCTTGCAATGGAGATAACCACAGAAGACATATGGACAATTTTGCTTTACCTTTTTGTCTCCCAAAGCAAAGAATTTGGAAATAGCCATTATCTCATTCCCATCTGAAGGATGGGAACAAAACTTGCTAGGACAAAATTTGCTATGAACAAAATTTGCTAGGAACAGAGGAGGAAGATCTTTGAAAAGGCGTTTTACCACAGAAAGAAAAGAAGCAGAGAAATTACTATTGGTTCCATAGATACAGGTGGACACTGACACACACTGACAGTGTAAATCGAGCAAAATCAGACAAGTTTGCACAGAATAGTGGTTGTGTATCTCTAAAATCTATTATTCAGAGTCCCCTCAAGCAACAGAGTGCACTGTTTTATTAACACAGTGTACAGTATGGTACCTTCTGTTTCTTCTCCGGTCTTTGAGAATCTACTTTAAGTTGTTCCTCAACAAACTCGTCAGACATTTTCTGTCTTGCACCAATTTCAGGACTGATAGGTCTAAGCAAAAGAAGGCAGTTTTGAATAAAACAGGTGATCATCATTCACTTTTACAGTTCATTACAGTTAAATCTTGTGAAGTTACCATCAAGTTTTAGGAAGAGAGTGGTAATCTCTCCCTTATAATAAAAGAGTTTTGGGTGCCAAAGTTCTAAAATGCACTCCTTTAGTGTTAGGCTGAAAAAACTGCCACTCGGAAGACACTGGCTGGGTTCATTGGCTGCTTTGTGCAGTCCCGGCCAGCGTTCCAAGGTCATTTACATATGGAAGCTGATTGGACTACACTCCATTCCACACCTGAAACTCCCCCCCCCCCGCAAGGCAGTTGGAATTTTCAGTTGGGAGAGGAGAATGATGTCAGCTGCTCCCTAGGCAGAGGCTGTGTGTGGGGGGGGGGGTTGTAAAACTTAAGACAGACAGGCAGATAGGGTTGCCAACTCCAGGTTGGAAACTTCCAGGATATTTTAGGGATGAAGCCTGCTGAGGGTGGGATTTGAGGAGGAGGAGGAAGAGGGGGACCTCAGACAGATACAATGCCATGCTGCCCACACTCCAGACAAGCTGTTGCCAGTCTCCAGGTGACAGCTGGAGAGATCTTAAAGCTTTGGTGCTACTTCAAATTTCCCCAGGAGCCCAAAACAGAGAAGTGTTTTGGAAAATCTTGAGGAATTGTTTGGTGCATTTACGATGGGGCTCCTGGGGAACTATTGTTGCCAATCTTGGCCCAGCAGCCATCAAACCATTCTCTTCAACCCCCTGCTGTGCAGCTGACTTCCCCCTAGGGTTGCCAATCTCCAGGTGGGACCTGGAGATCTCCCACTGCTACAATTGATCTCCAGATGACAGAGATCAGTTCCCCTGGAGAAAATGGATGCTTTGGAGGGT